GGGGGGAATACTAAAACAAAGGATGTACCCATGTTTTTTGTGGGTTTTTTGTATATTTTCAGAAAGTAGAATGCATAATCATAAGGATGTTTGTTTATCTAGAAAATAACTTTTAAGCCACTACAGTGAACTTTCTTAATCTATTTTCAGTGATTTTTTTTTTTTACATCTGTACTATTTCACATTAATAACTGATGTGAGTTAACTGGTTGTTCAGGTTAGATTTGCATTCTGATCCAAAGATTGCAGGTTGCTGAGTTATCCCTTAAGCTTCCCAGCCTTGTGGATCCATTAAGCCTTAATTAAAGAAACATCTTAGAAAAAAAAAATAATCAGACCATTTATATCCAAAGAAGATGCACACTGGTCATTTGTTTGTTCACCAGCATAAAAATTATTATTTAATGGAAATTTTAATCACAGCAAGCTTATAGATAGACATATATTAAATGCATTAATCTTTCTATAAGGTTATTCGCAATGTATAAGGTTACTCCTCTGAAAAGACTGCTTCAGATTGCTTTCCGGTAATGCTAATACCCATTAAAAAGATGAATATATATGTGTGTAAGTCAATCATAAGGTATTAAAGAGGTGTAGCAACTTAAGCTTCTTTTCTTCTTGGCAGGTCACTTTGAGAAATGTCCTAGTTCAATTAAAATATTTTTTCCATTTCCTAGGAGTAGATTCAGATATGCTCTGTCTGTTCTCTATCTTATCTTCACTGTCAGGATTTAAAACAAACCTGAGTGAGATATAAGGATAGTCCAGCTACTTCAGGCACTGAACAAGTTCAAATGTAAGGGTGCATATATGTGTTTTTGTGTGCATGTTCATTAGATGTGCATCCAGGTTGAATATTTGTCCTATTTAGGGATACATTTTTTAAGAGTATGTGTACAATTTTGTAGAATTTAAACTCAGATAAACTGCATTTTCTGTTCTTCAAGCACCCATTCTTTCATCTCTACTTTTAAAATGCTACAGTAGTGAGTGGAAACCATATAAATGAGGTAGGCATACAAAAGAGCACACGGTGTGATAGTTTTTTTCAGATTGGATTGGTACTATGAAGTTAAAGTTAACAGAAATTATCATCTAGGCTATTGTCATTTAACATGTTAATGACTGAAAATATTGTATATCTGAAAAAAGAAATGCGGTATTTTAGAATAGTAGTGTACAACTCAAATATTCATATAATAGTCTCAGAAACACAAAATAGTCAAATTAGTTCCTTAGTTCTGCCATAAATGCTCTGTATTCAGCATTACTTTGTGTCTACATTGATTTTGATGCAAAAGTGTTCCTGGAAAAATCTCAATTCTTGGATGCTTTGGTCTGGATGCTTTGGAAAAATATTAAAATACTTTAGATATAAAATGAACTCTGTGACAGAAGTATGGATGAAGTGAAAGCTAATAGTTTCATATTAGAGTGGTACCATAAGATCTTCCTTCTCCTTTCATCTTGCAACAGGCTTCACAACAACATTGTGTCTCCTCAGATTATTATTATTAATAATAAAGTTTTTGCAAATTTTCAGCATGTTTGCATGCACTTAAGGTGTGTTTCTTTAAAAAATGGAAAATGTTTAGATTCAGATATGGTAATGCTGAAAAGTTGTATTTCAGGCCCTGATACATATCAGTTTATTTAAAAAAATATAAATAATGCTCACAGGTGATATTAGTTATGTACCAATATCTGACTGTCATATGACTTTTCTAAAAAAATCCTGTTCACTTGTTACTTTTCTAGGTAATATGATGAACTGTGTGAGTTTGCTTTACTGAATGCTGCATTTTCTCTTTTGCATTGGTTTTATAATAAAATGCAAAAATAATTTCTCATATTTTACTGGCCATCCACAATATGGGGTACTAGGAAAGGTCAGCATGCAATTGACAATATGCAAATATTTGATTCACCATGCATATGAATATTGCTCCATTTCTCTATAGTTAATTAGGTGATTTTAATATAGTTTGTGACAGAAAAAAAGAAATGAATTTGCCATTGGTCCATCAACAGTTGTGTGCTCTAAACGAGTTGGGCTAGAAGCCACTATTGGAAATGGCTGAATGAAGTATGCTAAAATTAATCCTGTTTCTAATGTAGCCAGAACAGCTCACAATGAAACACCCTCTTCTCTCCTAATCCAGCAAATTTCTAATGGTTGTTCCTCAGGATTTGGAGGTGGCATCTGGTAGTTCCAGCAGCTCTTGGGAGACAGTACTTGTATTCCTACTCATTCTCAAGTTCCTCTTACTTTCAATTCTTCCCATTATTTTTCATTCATTTATGCCAGTCTATATGCTACTGTCATAACATATAAAAGAATACAGACATTTGAAAAACAGAAAACTCAGTTTCTTGGTTTTCTTTTTTTTTTTTTCCTCTTATCTTTTTTTCCCCTAAAGCAAAGGGTTGTTTTGCTAATGCACAACCAGCATGGGCTGGTTTCAGATTTTCCTATAGCAGGAAGTTATGGTTAGGAAGAGGTCCCTAGGCTAGGAAATCTAACGACTCTCTACGTTGGATTTGATTTAAGGTTTGAAAGAACAATTGGGCAGTATAAACTGAAGAAAGCCTTAGCATCTCTGCTTTTGAGCTTATCTGTGTGTAGTTACTATTCTGGTTTCCATTAATAAAAGTAGCTCTTCAGCAATTTTTTTTGTGAAATTGGTCTGATATGTACCTGTCTTGTGTTGTGCCTGTCAGAATTAGCTTTGTGTATTACTTTTTTTGCCTGTCAGATCGTTAAGTTAGTTGATTCATTTTGGAGTCAGAAAATGTTCAGGGAGGGGAAAATTTTGATCCAATCAACCTTCCATGGAAACAACTGCCTGTTTGCCGTCTGCAGTGGGCATTGATCCCTAGCTTGTTTGTGCCTTGCATTTGTTATGCATGAGTAAGCGCATTAGCCTTTTCATTTCATTCATTAGACAGTTAGTCCTTGATTAGTGTTTCCTAGTTTCTGTCAAAAACGCTACTACTTCTTTATTCATTTTGTCTTGGATCTGCCTTTTGCTTCAGTGTGTAGAAAATGAACAGTTAAATACAACAGTAGTCCTTTTATTTCTTTTTCATATAAAACTGGCTAACAAATATACTTTTCTAATGCTGGCATATCTAATGTGGGATAAAGTATGAATGATGGGTCTTTCTAAAGTTAACAGAGTTATTATTTTAGTTCAGTTGGCAGGCTTTGTTTAGAAGTGTGATGTCTCAGGGTTTACTGTCAGCTTTATTTCATCCATCTCCAAGAACTGTGGGATCACCTGGATACTTGTGGATATTTGCCTTATAAAATTGCAAAAAAAATAAATTTAAAATAATGATGAGTGCAGTTTGAGAATACAGCACTGAAAATTTCAGATGACAGTTTGGATGACAGGACAGAACAATAAGGCATTTTATGACTAACACCAGTCCAGTCACTGGGGAATTTTGCTGTGATTTCCTTGTAGAACAGTAAAATGTTGAATGACAATTCAATTCTTAAAAATAATAGAAAAATACATAAATAATTTTATGATGTGATTAAAGCAACAAACTATGGACATCTTTAGAAACTACATAACGAGATCATGAATAAAATTGAATATTTTAATGGAGCCAATCACACTTATTTGTGATTTAGATTAACATTTATTAGTTTAAATAAAATTAAAATTAAAATTATTTTAAGCAAAACTTTTATCATGTTTGGAATAATTATTAATATATGATTTAAGTATTTAATTTTTATTTTTTCCTCCAAATTCTCATTCTCATTGTTTTAAAATAGTTTTAAATGTTGCCAGATATACTCATACTTAATTTAATATTTCTCTCTAATTCTTAGGTTTTGTATTTCCATAATTGTTGAAGTTTGTAGAAGGTGGGGGGGGAGGTTCATGTAGGTGATAGTTGGTTATAGTAACAGTTTTGTTTGTAGTTTTTCTCAAATGCTATTTACATAGAAACTGAAATTCATTTTAATTTCCTACTAACTGAACTAACTCTTCTTATATTCTTATATATCCAGAATTTTAAGATATAATATGAAGACATGATCTAAATGGATTTCTCTGTGTTTACTATCCTTTGCAAGACTCATGAGTTGGTAGATTTCATACTCTCACCTCATTTAATACATACATTAAAGATGAAAAATCAATTTCCAGTTTGTAAAGTTTTAATGATTAGTATGAGAAATAAATATTACATAATCTGGACCGAGGAAAACATTAACTTCATATCTGCAAAGGAGATACAAAAATGCTTTGAAATCACTTCCAAATATTCTATATTCAGCAACTCCCACCAGCACAATTATTTGATTCTCATTTAAATGTTACAGACATATAAGTATTTCATACAGCTATTTCATTTCACATACAGGTTATTTATTATGTTAATAGCATAATTTACTTAATTTTAAAGAGTTTTGATAACATTTATTTCAAATAAAAAATCTGTTTTTTATATTAAACTATTTTTACCCCTACATGATTTCACACCCTGACATGTAGCAAATGGGGAATCTCCTGACATTTATTCCAATTTTCCACCAAATTTTAGAGAAAGTTATTGAATGGCCTTATGCAAATATCAACTTGTATGCATATCAAGTAACTTTGCTGACTCTTATCACTCCCCTTTTTTAAAGAAAAAGATTTCAAATACTTTATATAGTATTTCTACTAGGCAGAACTGTACCAATGGTCTTATTGGAAACCTTGCTGTATGAAATTTGAAGACACTTTCAGTAAATATAACTATCACGTCTGATTTGTAAAAAGGAATAATGGAGACTGCAACAGGAATAATATATTATTAAGTTCAGATATATCCCATTCTGGAACTAGTGTACCTGTAAGCTTTCTAACTGATAAGAGTATTGCTCTTGTTGAAAATGACAGTTCACAAAACACCTTGTTTACAGTTTTGGTCTTCTGTTTTGCAATTTTCCTGTCACAACAGATTTATGGTGGTTTTTTTTTTCCTGTTAGGATGCTTCAATTGCCCACAGATTCCACATCATGAGAGAAAAACATCCAGAGAAGTTCAACAGTAGGTAAGAATCTAAAAATACATGCATATAAAAATGTTTTTCCATGTTATTAAGGTATGTTTTCTGAGGAGTAAAGTTTTACACTTCCTTTAAAATATTGATTCTTATAGAAGAGAGGAAATTGGTTCATTTTATATTAAGTATATGCTTCCAGACCACTTGTAATGTAACTGTTTCATATCTGGTATTTCAACTGAAATCAAAAGCATTGTAAATAAGTTGTTCTCACAGGTGTGATGTTTGACTTGTAAGACTAGCATGGACAAGATGATGCACTGTGGTTGTGGGGTTCCCTGAATTTTCACTTTGCCTTTAGGCACTGAGGAACACTTCTTAGACAGTTGCAGATGGTGATCCTTATGTTTCATTCACACACACACTGGTGCCTTGACAGAGGTCTCTTCCATATATACTCTAAGTAAGGGCAAGTGAATGCCATTTTACACATAAATGCTTTTATCTTTAAACAACTTTGTATACATAAAAAAAAGTCAGGAATGAGACTTTGCATCTGTTTCTTGTCTTGCTTCTTGAATTTTCAGTATTATCGCAGAGCTTTTATGGAGATTAAAAATGTATTACATTTAGTGTAAATTTACCCCCTTTCAATATCTGGTTTGTTCAGTAGATAACCTTCATAATGCACTGTTTATGTTTGTCTCTTCTTATTTAGGTAATTTAGCACGTAAGTTGTGATGGGTAAAAGCAACATTTCAGAAACTTTAATTAACATTTAAAGACACATGCGGAGAGGAAAGTAAGATACAATGTTATTTGGAATATATAGGGGTTGTCTAGAAATAATTATTAACACAAATGTTTTGTCACTGTGAGCCTAACCATAGACTTTCTTTAGGGTTATTTTTTTTGGGTTAGTGGGTGACCTGGAAAATCTTGGGTAGATGCAAATCTTCATAGACCTCAGCATGCCAAAATATGCTGTTTGTGTTCTCATCTTAGAGCTGTACAGAATGGTGTTTGAATGTTTGAAAATTATCTTACTTCTTACTGTTTTCACATTAAAAGTATATATTTTACATCTAACAGTCAGAGTTGAGGTCTTTTTTCTTGAATACTTAATCTGTTTAGTATCTATGCAGTGTCATACTATGAACCCAAGTCTGTGGGTTTTTTTCAACTCCCACAGTACATATTTGTTTTCTACTGTCTCCTTTTCCTAGCTCTGATGCTTCTCATTCTCAAAGAATCATGAGAAGGTCTGAACTCAAGCCTGATCTGTGTATCCCAATGTATTATCCCCTGTCAGCAGGACTAGAGATACTGGACTTTTAGCAAATGCAGATATTCTAGGCCTTGAAGATGAAGCTAGTTTATCAGTGGTCTTTCTGCGTATTTTCAGCAGTTGGCAATTATAATTTATAAAAAGCTCAGCTAATAACATGAGTTTCAGATCAGATTTCATGTCACAATAAATCATATGCCATTAATAACATCTGCTAGCAGACTCACCTTGAAATTCATCTATATTTTAAGGAACCTGATGTTTCTAACATTATCTTAAGGAAATTAATTACAAAAATATATAGTTCCAGTCTCTACGTACTTTGGTACTGTGATATTGAAAGAACTTGAAAAAAGCAGTGATTCTCTAGGTATTCAAAGACTATTTAGAAAGATTATGCCTTTCTAAAAAGAATATAAAGTCTTGAGCAAAGTATTGTAATAGAAACTGATTTTTTTTGTGTGTAGTGAGAAAAAAATGTGGATTTCTATTTTTGTTGAATAGAATTTTCCAGATGATGATGGTTCACAAATACTTTGTTCCACTAACAGTTACTTGCATGTGGCAACACTCCATAATATGTTGCAGCAGCATTTTCCTGCAGTGTGTGAAAATAAAACCCTTTTTTAGATGTCTGCTAAGCCAGATTTAATTCACCAGAATGTGGAATTTTCTATGCAATCTAAATGATTTAGCATCAGCAAGTCCAACTCAAGTCTGATTAATAGTGGGCTCCATAGTTAACAGCACCTGCTCCTTTGAAAATCCTACATTACTCATTTGAAAATCCTACACTGTCATATGTACATATCTCTTGTGATTTAAGAAAAATAATACTTTTTTGGTTTTATTTTAGTTTCGTCTTGCCTGATTTTCCAACTTTTTTAGCTTTCACAGCTATCATTCAGTTTTTCAGAGCAGGCCTTTGCACTGATGGTCTACTCTGAAAAATGAACACGCAAAAAGTTTCCTTGAAGAGGAACTTTTAAGTTTATACAGTGTGCAGAGATCTTTTGAAATCCACAGGTGTTGTACTTACTTCAGTGAAGTAAGTTAGGCTACTGGGGGTTGGAGAATCTTTTGCATTAAATCCTTGGTAATGATCCTCAAATTCCTGAGGGCATTCCCTACCACTCTGATCATCTGTAAATAGAGCATACTAATAGGGAAACTCCTGACCCGTTGTACTTGAGTGGAAGCAGAATCTTCCTGTATTTATGTTCTCCAAATGAAGGTGAGAGAATATTGCAAGACATAGAAAGGCTTTTTTAATGACTGCTAGCCAATTTTGTGGCATTGTTTGGAACTAAGTGACTAATTCTTGGGAACTGTGACACATTTTGAAACTCTGCAGTGTTCATACATTTTGGACACAAAGACTTAGTATTACTAGCTTATTAAAAATAAAAAGAAATAAATTAGGGTGTAGATTTGTAAATTGGCTAGAGATAAACATTTAAGTCTTTGGAAAATCTAAGTTTGTGTAAATGCTGAAGAACTAAAAATCCACATTGTCAGTTGTCTCCTTTGCAATGAAGCACCTGTTTATTTGAGCTTGTTAATAAATTGAAATCAAGTCCTTCGACAAAAGGATCTTTTGTGTTCAGAAGCTTAATTTTCAATGAAAAGATACTTAATACATACCTTAATATGTTGGCAATTTTATACTTGTAAGCTGCGCTATGGAATGGCTCCATATTGTTTTCCAAATAAGGCTCAACATAAATATCTACCAGTGATTTTAAAATATTTTTTACTTGTTCCTAAAAATGGATCTGCAAGAGAATAATCTTTTTTCTAATGGTAGTCAAATAGCAAAGAATGGAAGTGAGAACACAATAGTAGCATCCCTACCTCAGTCAAAAGAATGAATCCTAATAGACCATTTTAAGTAATTATATCTTTGGGTCATTAGCACACGTTATCAGAAATCAGGCTGACATTGCATTGAGATTTAAATGTGTTCTAAAACTGCAAAATCTGAGCTGTCACATTACCCACTCTACAGGTCTGAAGTGCTGACAACCCAGTGCTTGAGGACGCAGACTTTCCTTCCCAGCATCTCCTGCTTCAGAGTAGGGTCAAATTTTCAGATTTAAGTGTGGAAAGGCTGAGTTTATGCCAGAGGGAACAAAACTTGCAAAAGCAGTATTTCAAGTAACAGTGTCATTAAACTAGGACATACAGTTGAAATAATGATTCAGTTAGGCCAAAATGCCCTACAGGGACCTGTGTAAACATCGTAGGCTCGATGCTGGGAATAACAGATGTATGAATTATGTGACTGGAATATACACAGGGAAACAAAGGATACTTCAACAAAAAAATAATTCAAGTTGATATTAACTATTCTAAAATAATATTCTGTTCAATTAGGTATACTACTTTGACTCTAGCATCCTGTAGCATAAAAGATATTTCTTAGTTTCAGTAAACTAAAGTAGGATTTATAAATTGCATTTACAGTCCTAAATACATTGTCTTTGAGGTTTTCAAATATCAATCTTCTCCCACATTTCATAAACAAATCCAGCATAAAAAGTTCCTAATAACTTGATTTGCATCATATTCCTGACCAAGGACTTTTGAGGTTCCCTTTCAACTTGCTTAATTGTGCTTTTTTTTTTTTTTTTTTGTGCCGCTATCTATACATTTAATCTCTAAGGAAGTTTTTAAGTAATAGAAAGTACTGACTTACTTCATGTAAGTATTCTCCAGGAGAATAAGGAAAGGCCACAGTAAGAAAAGTTTGGAGAAATGGCAGGGAGATGAACCTTTAGCAAGTTATTCCGTGTGTCCTAACTTGTGTACTGCACTATGCAATGGAGTTATCATAACATCATATCTTGACTAACCTCAAAAAAAGAAAAAAGGAAAAAATCCTGTCATGAATACACTGTTACTGTATTCAAAAGCTGTATCATAAAAGATATCTAGTCCTGTCTGGCAGCAAAGAAACCAGAACACGGTTATTCCACTTGAATACTGGAGTTGAAAGCAAGTTCCAGTTTTGTGACCGAGAGGAAAAAAGATCAGTTTAAAAGCAATTTCATTTATTTTGACTTTGAATTGAACAGTCAAAATGTTTTGTTTTGAATAGAACAAAACTATTTTGATATTTTCATTATTCTTCCAGCTTTTCAGTTTAAGTGATGGAGTCTCTTGGTTGGAGACACAACCACATATTTGCAGTGAATATACTAAGCATCAACACAACATTCCTAACTCGAATTGCAGATATTTCAGTCTCTTTCCTTCAACTTCTCCTCCCTTCCTGGTTGTGACTGATATGAAAAAGCTTAAAAAGAAGACACTGGCTCCACAGAGAGACCAAACTGCAGACATCTGTTACCTGTCCCACTGAACCCAAAGGTTCCTTTTCTTTAAAGGATAAGACTCCAGGGAACAGTATCTCTGGACTCAGGCAGCATTACTGCAACTGCAGTCATCAGAAGCAGCGAAGTAAGGTGAAAATATTTATGATAGAGTGTGAAATATTTTCCCATGAGCAAGAGATGGCTTGTAGGTAAATTAACATCCTCTGCCTAGCTCTTGGTTATAATGTTTATAGAGAGACAGAAATAAAAAAGCACAACCAGCATGTTCTTTTGTCAGTTCAAATGTGTAGCAGCCTACCTTTAGAAATAATGCCTGAAGAACATAATGTGTGCTTGAGTTGGGACAAAGGGAGATAGTTGGAGTGTAAAACTGATTCAACCTACCTATGTCTGTTGTCTACAGAGCAAAATCACAGCACTTT